CGTAGGCATGCGCAGAGGTTAGCAAATAAAAAAATCCCTTTCAGTAAAAGTGCCCATGCAAAGTAAGACCATAGAAACGAAATTTGATGCAAGACAAACAGATAAAACAAACTTAGTGAAAGGAAACAACATAGACAAAAAAACCCACAAAGAACGGATTACGAATTGCATGAAATCGATGACTTCAAAAGATGCGCTAATTTCACAATCGTAGTTGCGTACTGTAGGCTCCCTTCAAACTTCGCGCCAGGACGCGTTCGATACAGAGAACATTCATTACAAAGTTTAGTTGTATTACTAACAACCTATACGATCTTCATTGATCAGGCTGCGAGATTACCCCTCAGGATAAAGTTTGAAATCTATATTTTTATTGGGCTCAGTGATTAGACTAGTAAGTGGAGGTCTACTGTAACCCACGCATGCACCATAAGAGGAAACAGTTGGAGCTAATTTTTTCTCTTAAAACTTAGATGAAAAAATGCCTAAAATTAGTCATAGATGCTCATATCAAATTGTAAGTAGTATGATAATTGCAAGTCCTAACGTCTTCGTGGTTTTCAAGTTTACAGGCATGTTTGCTCAACAGATTATTTGATCTTGTTTGAAAAAAATTCGCAACACTCGATATTTAATAATTAACTTGATATTTCTTACCTTGCTTTCCTTAATCTATATAATTTGCCTTGATTTTAAATGTAGGTACATTTTTCTATAAATTCAGCATTTGGATGAATTTTTTTCTCTGAAAAACTAATGCAAATCATATGAGATCCAAGAATAATAATTCCTTATTTTTTCGTTCTTCCGCTAAGATTAGATGTACAAAAATATTTTTTAAAAATGTTTGCAATTCGTTTTTGTACATTTAGAAAAAGGATCAGTTTTATATGGGTCTGCAAGCTACCGTTGCCTGACGGGGGACAAAGACAAGATAGCAAGGTTTGCATCTTAGCGGATAAATGGGCTGTTGAACCTATGGACTTATATCTGGGAGCTTTCGTCACGTGTAGGTCCACCTGTAGAAACAATCGTTTAGGCACCTACAGTTCTTTAAAATCAAATTTGATTAACTTGCGCACGGAAAACAAGTAAA